TGCCCTAAAAAAAAAGGAAATAATCCCATCCCAACTCCCATCTCTATAGGTGCGGCGAGCATAGCCGGTCGCTCTCCGCGCCCGAGATTGGGCTGGAGGGGGTGGCCCCTTCCGCGCTTCGGCCCGGGATGAGAAAGTTGCCGCGAGTCCCCCGACGGTGCGGTGGTATTAAACCTCAAGCAGCCATGAAATTTCTTCAGTAAAATCAGCGGGGTTGGAGCATTAGCCGTAAACTCTTTAAGGGATTTGCATAAAACTGTTTGGGAAGAAATTCCCGACGCCAAAACAACTTCAGGGCGAGCGGGGAACCTGCCTTTTTAAAAATTTTGTCAAATTTTAATATTTTTTTATTTTTTCACTTTTTTTCCCTAAAGATATGGTAAGGGGGACATTCTGATTTTCATTATTATTATTATTATTTTGGTATCTTTTTACCAAGAACGTTTTGACCTCCAAAGCTCCAAATATTTCCCAGAAATTAACCCCTTTCATTAAATGCAGGGTGCTTCTGATAGAAGGGCTTCGCAAAGCCCCATAGTTATTCACGTTGTCATAAAACGATCGTTTACACAAACGTTTCTGGTACAGTTGCCTTCCAAGAGACTTAAGAGGAAAAAGAGAGATGTTTATCTCATGCTCTAACTTTTTTCTTGCTTCAAGAAGCTGTAGTGCTGTGATCGATAAATGAGCATCCATACAATGACTTTTCTTCTTTATCTTCATTTCTGACGGTGGATTCCTTGCGGTCAGGTTTCCAGACAGACTCAAGCACAGGATTCCTACCATGAGAAAGGCAGAGAGCACCCCGAGGAAGGTGAGAAGCGCACAGTCCTGACAGGCAATATTAGTCTTATTAGTCCCTCTGTGGTCATCCACACAGTCCTTACACTGCAACTTGGTTTCTTATGGGAAACATAAATTTACTACCTTTTGGGGAAGAGGGATGCCAGAGTGCTTTCAAAGTACATTTAAAAATGAGATGAACATGTAGCACGTTTATCTTGAGTGACCAAATGGTATTTCAGTTGTTCAGAAACCGATAAGTAGGCCAAATGGATCTTCACTGAAGAACTATTTTTAGGATATCAGCTTAAACCTATCTATTTCTTCACTCATACAGTGCAGAGTTGTGTTCAGAAAATCTTCTTTTTTCCCCATAACCAAAGTCTGTCACTTAAATCTCCTCTTCCATATCTAAGCATGGACAGACCTCTTGGTTTTTTTAATGTACCAGCTGGTTAATTTTAATTGAGGAGGACAGAGGAAATAGCAGAATTCATTGAATATCACTTACGAAGCTGGACACACGTTCAAAGAATGTGTGCTGTGAAGGATGGGAGATTATGTTTAAAATTAAATACTTATTATCACAGGCTAAACCAAATCATAAATTCCATGTGAAGACAGATACAGTTCAGTCCTGGTGCTTTCCAGGACTCTGTGGCAATCTTCCTCCAAATTTGTCATTAAACAGTCTAAAAGCAATGATGTCCATGCTCACAGCATTTTGGCAGTGAGAGAGAGGTGCTCAGCTCTGGATAGTTTTCTTTTCAGCCCTGCGTCTCCTTAAAACCTCACTTTTAAATAGTATCATTGTGAACGGGCATATAGATGGGAGACCTATTCATCCCCATTTTCAGGACCTGGACTCAAATACTTTATTTTCCTACCACATAGCCTCCCTCTCTTGGCTTCCCTCTTGACTGTAGTGCCATGTGCATTCAACAGCCTCCCTCCCAAATTGTTCGGATCTCCTTCCAAGCCAGCCTCTGCCCTTTATTTGTTCCCAGTGAGCGTAGCCAGAATGAATTGTTTGCTGCAGAGTGGCTCAGTAAGAGAAGGAAATTATTACATCTAGTTATCACCGCCCTATCCTCCCTTTCCTAACAATGATGTTGGAAACCCATACTGGCAATATTTCTAAATCCACAAATCCTAGAGGCATGTACAAAATCGGGGGAAACTGCTCTTTGAGAAATGTGATGTCATTGCTGATGTTTCTACCTTGATTTGAATGGAAACTAGCAAAATAATTTGGTTCCTCTGAGGCTGTTCTGTATTATAAACTCCTCACTGAGAGTACTTTCTCCTTTAAGAATTAACTCTTCCTAAAAAAATGTTATTACAAATTGCTTCGGACTGCTCTCTGTCAGCAATAATTTCCATGAGTAAGGAAACATTTGCATACAGAACATTTTTATATATACACAGTACCTGCTTAAGTACTCTAACTCACAAGAAATGCGTATGTGGGAATAATGTAATCATTGTTTCATCTTCCGTAGGAAAGCATCCAGACAGTGGCTTATACAGCAAGGGACCATCATACTCTGGTTATTCTGGGTATATCATGATGCCAAATATGAATAACGACCCATACATGCCTAATGGATCTCTGTCGCCACCCATCCCCAGAACAGTGAGTTATCTCTTCCAACGACTGTTTTTGGCAAGCTGGGTTTCCTCCTGTTTGGTCTGCAGAGTCTGTTCATGATGGGGTTTCTTGGGTAGCTTCAGTTACGGTGAAGGTTGAGCTTCTGCTGTTCAGAACCTCTGTCCAGTGAAGTTTGAGAGCTCTTAGAGGTGTTGGTCATGATGACGGTGGAAAAGCTGAGATTAATGTATCTGAACAGGACTGGAGGCTTTCTTGGGGGGGAGACCTGGTTTACGACTGTAGGATAATGTGTGGCGGAATGATGTAAATGCCGTCTTTGTAGTGACTGGGACAGATATGAATTTTCTGGCTTTAACTTTTCATTTGTTGCGGAAAATCAAGGAAGCGGAACTGCTAAAGTTGCATGTCAGAAAGATGAGAAGATTGGATTTTTTTTTTTTACCTTCAGATGTGGCATTGCTCTCTGCTGATTGATATTTGTTTCTGCCGTCAGTTGGTCTGCGTGAAGGCTTTATCTATCTGGCAGCATTGCTTTGAAACATACTCTATATCTTCAGCCACAAATTGTGAAATGGTCGTTTAGGAATTAATATCAACCATGATGCAGTAGTTACAGCTTTCCTTTACGTTGTGGCGGGCACTGATTCTTCCAGGTTGGTCCCTCTGTTTCCATTGGTGTAGATGCATGTTTGATAGATTTTAATGTACTTTTAATTTTGGACAGTCAATTCCCATTTATTTTTGTAAACCTCTTGGTATACATATAAAACAGTGGAGCGGCAATGTTAAAATGAGCTGTGGAAATTATATTAGCCCAATCTGAGTGGAGTGGAAAAAAATTTGCTTGTAGGCATCCTGCTGAAAAAAATGCCACTGCTGTTGTGTGTGCTGTGATATAAGAACTTGGATACTGTTATTTCCCTCTGATAAAGCAGTCTTCCCTCTTACTGGCTCTTCGATTTTTACTTGGAGGTCTCTGTCAAATAACTGGCATTGTTTTGCTCTCCAGTATTCCTGATTTTTATTCAGGGTTGTGGCATTTGACTTCAAAAACAAAAAAGAAGGGGGCCTGATCTGTATTGGTAATTTCACAGTAGTAAAACATGTTAAATTAGTGTATGTTTGGAGTCGGAATGACAAGGTACTTTGGCACTGGGAATAACATGGATCTACCCTTTTTGTATGTCACTGTATTTGAAAGGTGCAAAAACTCATGCAGTATGTTGCTTTCTATAGCTCTGAGGTTTTTTGTGTATAAATTCCAGTTCAGAGGCCTACAGCCATTTAGGGTGAAGCATGATGACCATGGTCTGTTGTTATTTGTTGTCGTAAATGCTGTTCTGCAAACAACTTCGGTTGTACTGTGGGGAAAAGGATGCAGGTTTTCAAGAGGGCATTGAGACTCAAACCTGCCCTTTTGAGGACCGGGAAACTTTTTTTTACCCCCTCTTTCCCGTGTTACCTTCCTAAGAAAGTCCCGAGTGCTGGTGTATAGCTTTGAACAACAAAGTCCAATTTAATTATTCACTGAGGATTTTCTCCACATATGTGTGCTGTGGGGCTGCCGTTCTTTACTGATCTGGCATTAATGCTCTCAGAATGTCATCTTACAGGGGCTCTGGTCTCAGGTACTTGAGGAACTATCCTTTGTGGGTACATTGGAGGGGAGAAAGGGGGGGAAATGCATCTTCTTTCTAAGTGTAAAGCTGCCTGCTGAACATCTGAGGGGCTAATTTAGTTCGGTGCTGCTCTTGCATGTCAGAGCAGCACTACTATTTCAGTAAAATAGTGCTGTTACAGGGCTGCAATGTTGACATAAACCTGGAGTTCTTTCAGTTTAACCACAAGGTTACACGCTTGAGTTATTAAATAATTTTTTTGTTTAATTGAACTATAATCTTTGTTAGTCTCCTAACTGACAGTTGAGTTTTAATGCGTGCAAGATCAAAACGCCGCATCCAGGAGATGACATGCTCTCTCACTCCATGGCTTACCACAGCTCCAGCACCACGGTGCTGCTCACCTTTGTTGGGGTCCCAACCGCCGCCCTGAAGGTTTGCTCTGACTCCCCTTCTCAGGGCAACGTGCCGGGGCTGGGGGGGGTGGCAAAGAGCAGCTGAGATCATCAAGCACTGGAAGTGGAGGTCTCCCCTGGGGTGTCAGTCCCCAGCCATTTGTGCATGGTGTGTACCTGCGCCCTGCTATTTGCATGACAAAGACGCTTCTTGTTGATGCATCTGTTGCCTGGAGGTGTTAGCCGGGATTAAAAAGCTGCCCCGGGGCGCTGAATCTTTTTTCCGCCTTGGAAGGACCTGCTGCCTTCAAACCACCCCAGGGGATGCATCCCTGGGGAATGTCATCCAGACACAGGACGAGGACCGTCTATGATGAGGGAGAGCAAAGCTTTCTTGGAAAGGGAAAAAAGTTACTTTCATCAGCACATGTAGGGGGACAAAAAAAGCCCTTTTTTAAAAAAAGAAAAGGCAAATGCTTTACAAGCCTGCTTTGTAAAATTAAAAGTACAAATCTATAGGCAAACACAACTTGTCTAATAAACCATAGAAGAAGGAAACTGAAGTGTAATTTCAGTGCAGCTTTTGGAAGGAAGAGAGTGTATGACAAGGATTTAGAATCTTCCAAAGCCTGCTAGAGTGGTCTTGTCTTCCCCATTCTCCGCCCCCCTTTTTTTAAAAATTTCTTATTTTTCTGACAACTGATTTACTTCTTGCAAGTCGTATTTGTAGGAGCAGGAGAGCATTAATTACAAGTTCAGGTACAAGCCTCATGCCTCTGTATTCTTATCAGATAGCGGGGTAGGTAGAAAAGCAAAGCAGTTGGTTTGGGTGGCTGCAGGAGAAGTGGCATGTGATGGTACTAAAACCACAGTAACACCTGGTGAATGTGCATCCTGTGTGCTCGAGATATCTTCTGGTGGTTTCTCAGCATTGCGGGGGTACCGAAGATGGGAGGTGGAGACAGCTGTTTGTTTTCTAACGTGTGGGTTTTTTCTTACTCTTTGGTTAACAAGACTAGTTTTGGGGTGGCAAACCTTTCTCGTCTGTTTGATGGGAACGTGGGAACAAAGGAGGTGACTGAAGGAGAATCATTTCTCTGTGTTGTAAATTCATCCAGAAAATAATTTTGTCTTTGTTTCTCCCTCATTCCCCATGAATTAAACTTCCTAAGGAAAGACAGAGGATTTCTACAACCTCTCTTTTGCCTGTTCTTATATGTTTTTTGGGGTCTGGCTCAACTGTCTCTTTGTAGCTGCTGGATGTGTTAAATAGGTCGGAGGATACTATAAACATCTTATGGCAACTTGCAAAACACAGCATATCTGTTTGAAAATGATGAGGAATTCTGCTGAGAGAGTTTGAATGCAGCTCAGGACCTCCCCAGCCCAAATTTTGGATATTCCTTGTGTGCTTCTGCATGGCAGGAGGTACAGAGTTAGTTCCCATCTTGAAGAGCTAACATCCCAGGAGAAATCGTGAGAATAATGTGGTCAGAAGGAAGATTGAGGGTAGAAATAGCAAAAATGAGTGGCTGTAGAGCCTCAGTAAGAGGGTTTTGTTTCCCTAGCTACATCTTGCTGTCCCTCTGAAAGCTGGCTGATTCACTCACTTGTGGGGAATTTTTGGGATCCCAAGGGGAATATATGGGAGCTGCAGAAAGATACAAACCTGTTTTTTCATTATATTGCCTTTTCATGGGAGTTCTCTTCTTCTGACTATGCAATTATAGGGAATTGCTGGGAACTGTGGTCAGCTGAAACCTCCGTGGCCCAACATGAAATAGGGTTTCACAGCACTGATGATGGGGCTCAGCTCCTGCTCCCATATCAGCCATCAGAAAGCTTTGCACTAATTCCCAAGTTGGCATCAGAGCAGGATGCCCTGGGGCCCTTAGGCAGCTGTGGTCCTGTCACAGATCTCTTCCCACCACAACCTCAGACCTGGGCCTAAGGAAATGGGTTGCAGGGGCAGCTGAGGGGCTTGACAAGCCAGAGCTCACCCAGGACTGGAGCTGTGCAGCTTCACCGTGCACGGTGCATGTCTTTTGTCAATGAAGTTGAATGTTGCCAGTTGAATGATGTCAAATTAGCTCCTTAAATAGCTTTGAAATCGGGCGCAGAGGAGCACAAAGCTTCCTGACTCTATGGAAGCAGAACTTGATGGGGTTTACTACAGTTTGCCCAGAGAGGAATTTTAACATTGTTTTCTGAGGAGCTCAGTGAGTTGCACCAAATGCCAGTACCAGGGAAGAATAGGAATCTGCTCAGTGCTAATAGAGGGATCTCACTGCTGCAAATATGTCTCTCAGCTGCTCTGACTGAAACATCACAGCTGATCAGTTGAAGATACGAATCTGTGAAACACGAACCCAAGCTGTGAATGGTTGTGGGCTGAGTTTTGGTGGTGCTTTCTTTCTCCCACTTAATGAAATGAATCCTCCATTTGGAAAAGGGGGCAGAAGTTACTGCAGTGCCTCTAGGTTGTCCTTGTCTGAAGCTTGATCTGGTTGCTCATGATAAGATGGCATTATCCAAATAGAGTCTTAGGTATGCAATTCATCATTACTGTGGTCTTTGGCACATACCAGTGAAGAAAACACCCCTTCTGCTTTTGCTGCCTTCCTGATTGATGCAATTAGCAAATCTATCTAACTGTGAATGGGCAAGGGGAAAAGAAAATGTTCTCCTGGTGTCTCAGTGCAGGGGCAAGAATTGTATGTGTGTGGCTTCAGCGGAGGCATTATCAAAAACTCCACCCATAACAAATCATCAAAGCTGAAGCTTTTGTATAGCAATATGTGTGTATGCTTATGTCCTAAATATCCTTTTTTCTATATATCTAGGAGTTAATTCAATATAAACTTTAAATGGTAGAGCTGCTACTTACTTTTTAAAGTGGTTTAAAAGCAAAATGTCATTCTTGTCTCTTCTCCAACTTAATCCCAGCCCAGAAAAAATGTTAATAAGAATAGCTTGTTATGGGCTGCAAGTGCCAAGGAGGATATGGCTC